TTTTTCTCCCTGAATAACTGTTTAACATTGAGAAAATGTCTTCATTAGATTAATAGCAATTAAACTCATAGATTAAATAGGACATTTTAAAACATCTTGGTTGTACTTGAAATGCATATAGACACAGTTCTCTTTGTCCAGTCCCTTACATCTTTCCTCCCGGCTTCCAGACCTCATTGTTGACTCTGCTTTTGTGCCATCTAACACAGATAAATGTTAGATAAAATCAGATAAAAACTGATACGTTTTTATCAGGCGGTTCTTTCTCTCCTTCGCCGTTTCTCAGTAACAGGCCGACCTTTTTCACCACACAGGAATTAGACAAGAAATTCCAACAGACAGCAGCTTATCGAAACATGAAAGAGATTCTCACCAGGAAGAATGACCAAATCAAGGACCTGAGGAGAAGACTGGCCAAGTAAGCCTTGCTGATCCCGCGCGGCTCTCGGGTTTGCATCACTGCCGGGTTGATGTTTGTTCTTCGTGAAATCTCAGCCTGTGTCCGGAGAGGTCAGGCCAGTGGGTAGTTAGCTGCTCTGTCATTTAGTCCAGAAGCCTGCGTCTGAGGAAAGCGTTGTCCGTACTGCCCGCCGGGGCTGGAACTTCAGACACACGGCTGCGATAGGCCGCTCTTGGCAACGGTCATTTAAGCAGGATATCAGAAAGGAAACCCAGCCAGCTTATGGGCGGCCTTGGCGTTTCTCCTCAGGAGTGTTCTCACAGGAGCCTAAGACCCGGCCACACTGTGCCCTCCGTGACAGTTGAGGTGCCAGAGAATGCGGTCCCTGCAGATGGGCGCCGTAGCCGGCGTGGCCTAGGAGTTCATGTTCCACGCGACCCCCAGGGAGGGCCGTGTCCGGTTCCGGGAGCTCACCACGTGGGGGGACGCCTGCAGCCGTGGCCCCCGCCACGTGGTCACGGTGCACCCACAACCGTCCCGATCCGGATGTGGTCTGCTCTTCAGGCTCCTTTCTGTCCTCAGCAGGTTCACCTGGAAACTCAGCCGACGTGTTACCTGGATTCCAGGGGAACAGAGCTGGGAAGTAAATCCAAGATCTAGTTCTTTAGAGAAGGGGGTTGGTT